ATGAGGAACAAAGTCTGGAGGCCCCAACCGTTAAGGATGGAGGGCAGCCCCCCTTCCCCGGGAGCGTGGCCAGTTCTCCCTCCGGGTGTGAGCGCCTCCTTAGCAGGCAGAGTCCCCAGGCCTGCCTTCCCGCAGCTTCCGGAGCCCCCTAGCCACGCTGCCACCACGATGCCCTGAGGGTCCTCCAGGAAAGCCCACCTTCCCTCACTCCCCTAGTTTCCAGCTGGGTTTGGTGGGTGGGAGGCAGTGAGGAGAGGGTGGAGGACGTGAGGGCACAGGACCTCCTGCCCCGGCCACGGAAGGCCCCGGGCTCCTGCCAGACAGCCCTCCTGGGGTTGCCGTGCCTGTTCCCGCCCTGTGCCTGCTCCCAGGCTGGTAACTGCTCTCCTGTTGCTAGCTCTGGAATGCTGCTCCCCTCTTACTGGTATCCCTACACCCCGTCCACGAAATGCTCCCCAAATCCCCTGGTGTAACGTGACATCTGGTTCCTGCCAGGACCTGACTGATACATACCACAATCTTCTTGTCGACACTTTGCATTTGAAAGTTGTTGAAAAGGCACCACTTTTGAGGGCTGGGATCCAGGCTGGTGGAGGGCTGGTCCCCCTACTGCCAACACTCCTCCACACTGTTTCTTTGCATCGCCCATCCCAGACCTGCATAGCGTCCTCTCTGACCATCTCTCCTGACTCTCATCCTGACTCCCCACAGCGAGTCCATGCAGCTGCTCATTGCTGAGCACCTCCAATTGTCAGGCCCCACAGCCCCATTTGGGGGTACAGCACTAAGCAGAGCTGGCCCCTGACCCCAGGGTACATAGTAATGTGGATACGGACTTGACCAGGCCCCTACCCCCAAGGGACCTCGGTGTTCCTGCTGGCCAACGGTCAAGGCCCCGTTCCCCTGGAAGCCCCGACCCCCGACTCCCTACTCCTGGCATTGGCTTGGCCGGGTTTGTGAGGTCTCCCCCAAGTATGGCTGCCCTTTGAGCAGCCCCGCCCCCTTGCTGGCCACCCCACCCTGCCTTCTTGGCCACCCTGCCTTAACAGAGAGCCTTTCTCCGTCCAGCTTAGGAATGAGGACACCACAGCTGGGCTGCTCCTTTCTGTGCTGGCCAGGTGGGACCTCCCACCACCCATCTGAACAATCCTCACCCCCTCACCCCACCCCAAGCTTGGGCCAGCTCAAGAGCTTATATAATCCTGGGCACCCTGACCTTTTTCTGTTCTAGAATGTGCTTTGAACATAAGTTCTTAAAGGCATCTCTGTGAACCCCTTCAAATCTTAGTACCAAGAGCAAATACTGATGAGAAGAGCTCCTCCAAAGAGACCCTAACTTTGGCTAATTGGCACCCTGCCTGCCCCGTTTCCTCTGCATCTGTATGTGCTGCCTCTTGAGACAGACTTCTCCCTGTTGACCCGCACGTGTACAGTGAGTCTTCCCTCCAGGTGGGATCTGCCACATGTAGACCTGCCTTCTGGAGAGCACCCCATCATTTCCTGGGTGCATCCCTCTCATGAGCGATGGGGGAGGTGCAGGAAGGGGTCACTCCCCAAGCAACGCCTTTCAGTAGCTGGCCATTCATTGGCTTGCCGGCCCATCCCCCCAAGACAGGCTGCTCCACCATCCTTGAGGTTTGGACTCCACCCTCACCGTCTACCTTCTTGGGACCCTGGACCACCTGGGCAGCCAGCAGCCTTGGTTTGCTAGGCCCTGCCTCCCTGACCTCTGCGAACAGTCCAAGCACAAGCAGGATCCAGCAGCTTTGTCTTGCTAACAGCGCCCAGCACCTGCTTCTGGCTCCCAGGTCCCCCCGCCCACCTCCTGCCTCGCTGGATCTGTAGGGATTAGATTCATGTTCGAGTGTCCTGTTCCTCTGCATGCTTAAGACACTGCAGATTTCATCAGTTCGAAGATGCTTATTTTTTTCACACTTAACCTCTCTGAAATAAAATGTGTCCACACTTAGTGGTGGATCATAGTCTATGCTTTAGCTTTTCAGGGCTACACGTAATAACGTGTGTCTTAGCATCGGTGGATCTTAAATTCCCACATCCAACATGCCCCCTTAAACACACATTCCCGGCTGAGAACCCTCTTCCAGACTCACACATGAGCTGTTCCACTTTGACTTACTTTGATAGTTTCATATCCTTTTCCCATATGCCTAATGGCTTGTCATCCATTAACTGTAAATTCTTTGATAAGATGACATTTATCACAGCTGCTTTAATGGAATTGAGTTCATCGATCTTGTGTCACGTCAAATTATTTTTGTTATTCTGCTCACTTTTAGTTTTGAACCTATTCTGGTTACTTTTGAGAAGGCCTAGCTGCTGCTGCTCAGATATTTCTGGTTCAATAATGCTTGAAAGAGATCGCTTAACATGGGGCTTTGCGACAACAGGGAATTTATTGGAAAGAATTAAAAAAAAAATTGTTAAACTCTATACCTTTACTAAATAGCTTAGACCCCACAGTCAAACACACATACATAGCCTCATGTAGAGATTTACATGTGTGCAGTGCATATGCACACACAAACACATTTTGGAGAGACAGGGGGGCCGAGTGGAGAGCCCTGAGTCAAGGTGAAAGTCAGGTGGATTCTCGTTGAAGGCAAATGCATCCTCACTACAACTTGGGGTCAACCACCAGGAACAGGGGCTCAGGGACAGGTCTGAGTCCTGGTCTGTTCCCACATGTCTGGGTCTGTCCCAGTCTGGGTCATCCTGCCTCATTTGCTGTCCCAGTCCCACTTACATGGAGCCCTGAAGACCTGCAGACCAAGGCCCCACCCCAGCCTCCCTCATCAATCCTAACCAAGCTGGAGCAACGGGTGCCTGACTTCAAGATGGGCAAGTCAGGACGGTCCAGCCACACTAAGCCTACACCGTGTGTGTTCAGCGACCTGGTAGACTGTCCAACTCCCATCCTGTGGTGGCTGTTGGCCTTCTTTCCCACATGTGATCATCCCTGCCCCTTCAGCAAGAAGGCGGCTGGCAGCCCCCAGGGGAGTGGTTGGACCCCTGGCTTCCAACTCCAATGATGGCGCCTTTCCAACCCATTTTAAAATTACATGACTGCCGGGGCACCTGGCTGGCTTGGTCGGTGGAGCATGTGACTCTTGATCTTGGGGTTGTGAGTTCAAGCCCCAAGTTGGATGTAGAGATCGCTTTAAAAAACAAATAAAATAAAGAAAAAATAAAATTACATGACTGCCATTGATGAGATGGTTGTGATGATAATGCTGGTGAATCACAGGCACTTAGTGTCAGGACCAGGATTGCTGCGCTCTGAGGCCAAGGAAGCCCCACCCAGAAGGGGGGTCCTTTTGTACCACCCCTGTACCCACCAACAGCCTGATCCCTTTCTCCTGTCTAGCTGCCCCCGGCTCACTGCTCCTCCCCGGAACCCAGCTATGACTTCCTCCGGCATCTAGGGCTGCCACCCCGCTCAACCCCTTAGCTGGATCCAGAACACCTGCCTCACACTGTCCACCTTTGCCCTCTGTGCCAGAGGGAGGGTTTCTGCCTAGGCCAGTGGGGAAATGATGGTTGGCTCAGGACAGGGAACACGAGGAGAAGCAGGCGAGGTACTAGACAGGGAAGGTGGATAGGACTTTGGGGCATGCTGGGTTAGGAGATGTAGGGTACAGCATTAATGAGGTGAGTCTCCTCCTTGCGGTTCTCCCATCCTGCCCTGCTGCTTGATATCGCCTCGGTGTGGGCGGGGCCTCGGTGGGTGGAGCCTCAGTGAGGTGAGGCTGGCTGCCAGGGCCCCCCCCTTGAATTTCTTGCTGTAGCTAATGGACCAGCTGATGGAGACCTGGCCCCAGGGCATTTGAACAGCACTGCGCAATGACCTGCAGGCTCCTCTGTCATCAGCAACAGAGATACAAATCAGGGAAAAATATTGTGCTGCCTCACCATTTTCTGAGTTCTGATAAAACAGAATTTTAACAAATGAAAAAAAAATAAAAGCAAAACAATTGCTACAATAGATTTCCTTGTGTTTAAAAACAAATTATCTTGGGGGGTGGGGAGAAATAAAAATAATTACCCCATCTCACACACACACATACAGTCTAGAAAACCTGATTCCCATATATTAAAAATAGGTCTCTTGGGGTTTGGGACTACAGGTGACTTCTTTTTTAAAAAAAATTCTGTATTTTCTAATTTTGCCATGAGAAAAATATAGTACTTGTATAATAAAATGCTTTTTATTTTATTATTTTTTT